ATTTCAAACTTTTACACACACACACACACACACACACACACACACACACACACACACACACACACATCGTGAAATTGCCCCTTCCTCAACTACCAGGTGCTTGCAATCATGGTACTAAGCAGAGGCTAATTCCAGGTTTGCTGTAAAGGAAATGTGGAGTGAAAACCATTTCATTGCCTTGTGGTGGGCAAAGTATCACAAGGGATATCTGCCTTCCCAGATGCATTACCACCATACTGATGTCTCTGCTAAGAACAGTTGCCCAATAGGATACAAAATATACTATATTTTAAAATTCTAACATTTTTGTCTAACTGTAAATAAGGCTACGCATAGCCCGCAAGTACAAATGTGCATGCACATTCACGCCAGTGGTGGGATACCACTGGTACGCCCCGGTACAGGCATACTGGTGCCTGCTGGGAGTACCATGTACCGTTCTGGTAGGGTGCTTCTGAGGTCCCACCTGCTTTACCTGTATTTAGGCTGATTGGGGCTTTCGCGCATGCGCATGGAGCATACAGCGCCTGTGCAATGCTCTACAGAGCACCTGGAGCGTCGCAGGCGGTAAGTACACATGCGCATGCTGGGTGCGTGCTGCACGCATTCACGTGGTGGACACCGGTCTCTGTTGCAGCGTACCGGTTGCAACAGGATCCGGAGCCCACCACTGATTCACGCACACTCACACCACAATATACAGTGCATCCATTCTTTTAGAGAAAGTTACAAAATTCCCATAATTTCTCTCTTCAACCAATCCTAGTAAAAATTAAAAAGAGGCCAAATGTTAACTTTGCCCAGTCCTGAAAGGACAATGGAGACGATTACACATAGGCATGATTTCAAAGGAAACGTAACGGATTTTTAAGAAGAAATTATTTTATGAAATAAATGAAGTCTCTAGATGCAAAAAATAAATAAATTATTGGTGCAAGGTATATGCAGAAGAACAAAAGAAGGGAAATTAAAACAAAAAACCAGTCACACAGACACCATTCCAGATAAAATAAAGTATTAGGAGACTGTAAATAAATATATTTATTATAAGCCAAATAAATATCAATATCTTCCAGTGGTAGATAAGATTTGTTTTTGTCATACCACATATCAGCAACAAAAGATTTGCATCTACCTGGTTGCCAAGGTGCTGCTTTAAAGCCCTTCATTATTTGGGATCAAGTTATCTGTGGGACTGTCTCTTGCCAGTCACATCCACATGACACATTAGAGAGGAGGGGGGAAAGGAATGTTGCAGGTCCCATCCCCTAAGGAGGTATATCTGGCAGGAACCAAAGAAGGGCCTTCTCTGTGGTGGCTCCCTCCCTTTGGAATATCATCCCTTCAGAAATTAGATTAGCTGGCCTCAATTTTGATATTCTTTACTAAAGACCTGAAGATTTGGTTTTGCTAGTAACCCAGAGTGGGATGGAGCCCATCAAATGATCATTTGACTGTGTGGTGTCGCCGGGAGAGATTGTTTTTTTATTTTTATCTATATTGTTTTTATTGCTTGTAAAGCTGCCTATTGAGCGAGCAAGCAGCTATATAAATTTTTTTTAAATCAATAAATAAATACCTACACTAACTACAACAGAATCTCAATACAATGCAATCAGATCAAGAAACTGTCAAGACAAACGTGTGCAAAAACAGGGGAATTATCGTAAATAAAACATACGAAAATAATCTTCGGAAAGGATCTATTCAATCATACTTACAAGTACATCTGATTTGTTGCTCAACCCTTTTCCATAATTGTCCGTTGCGATGGCCTGAAACTTGAAATAGGATCGCCGCATGTTCTTGAACAGCATTGCTGTCTTGATCAGCCCTGTGTAGGGTTCAATCACAAAGCCTTCCTTGCCATCTTTGATTGGAGGGATGATGAGTCTATACTGCATGGCACTATAGTTGCCGGTGTCTTTATCATGAGCCTGATGGGTAACAATGAGAGATAACATGAGAAGAATAACCTATGTGGGGTCCTTGGTGCTCCCTGACCTTGGTTATTGTTGTTTCTTCCTTGCAGACATTTCATTACCCAACTAAGTAACATCTTCAGTACTAGAAGAGACTGGGCTTTTTTTTCTGATTAGATCAGTGTTTCTCAACCTTGGCAACTTGAAGATGCCCGGACTTCAACTCCCAGAATTCCCCAGCCAGCATTCGCTGGCTGGGGCATTCTGGGGGGTGAAGTCCCGACATCTTCAAGTTGCCAAGGTTGAGAAACACTGATCTAATCAGAAAAAAAAGCCCAGTCTCTTCTAGTACTGAAGATGTTACTTAGTTGGGT